AAAAAAAAAAGTGTATGTAACAGGCCATAGAAAGTTACCAACTGTTCTTAAGTAGAAGAAAATAATTATTGCAGTGCTTGAGGAAAATTATGCTATTGATTCTTTGTGGAATAGAACCAAAGAAATCAAGACTCCAAGGATTAAGTTTCTTCCTGCAGTAATAAGTTTAGTTAGTGGCTACAACAGTGAAAAGAAAGAGGAAAAAGGCATTGAAGGCCAAGAGTTATATTTGTAGGCAAAGATGAGTATGCAAGTCAACAAGTCAAAATATTTTATTTTGTTATGTTGGGGATTAAGGATGACCAAAAAAAAGCAAAAATGTATTTCTGCTTCGATAATAATGATTAAGATGCTCAAGGGTTCAATTTTAACTTAACAACATTATAAAAGTGTGAAATTGGGACAAACTAGCTCCATTGGTTAAGTAAAATGTGGTTGTGTTACAATCCAGGATTCAAGCTTACAATCCAGGATTCAAAGCTTACATTGTTGCTGTAACTTTAAAAAAAGGAACATTAGATTGTTCACTGGAGTAAAATATTGGCCTACCGTTATGAAAAATGCATAATACTAATCACAAATGGTTTTAAAAAACACTGTAAATTTTAATACCACAAATGAAAAGTCAATCCAAAAACACATTTCATGTTAGTAATATCATTTTGAATTTAAAAAAAATAATTTTTAATATACTTGGCATCTTGTTAATAGTTCATTTTTTATGGTTGTTACAGTATGTTTTTTATATATTTAATCGAGCACATAGTCTGTAAGGTATCTGTAAGTTTTTATGAGGATAATGATACTGTTTTTGCTTATTTTATAAATTGGTTTTTAGAAGTCTCTTATACTGAATAAATTTGCATTTTACATAGTCTATATTACTCATATTATTTTTAAAGATTCACTTTTTACATTAACTGTGTAGTAAACAGAATAGGTGTGGAATAATTTCTGTAGTGTTTCTACTTCTATTACATAAGGAAACATGATAACTTTTACTTTCTATTACCCATCTATTTTTACAACATTAAAATTAACTATATATTCAAATATCATTTCAGGGCATTAATAGGAAAAAAACAGAATTGTCTTACCCAAACAGAATCTGTCTTCTGTTAAACTAGGAGATCCATGGCTATGTTCCTTCTTACAGTAATAAAATGTTAAAATATTCTAAACTAAAAAAATTACTTCCTATTATTTCTGTGATTCTGAAAATATTTTATGAAAAAATCCCACTTTAATTGGATTTTTTTTTGCTTTAATGCAGATAGTCTTTTGCTAATTTCTTATTTCTATATGCAAGGAATCGCTAAAACTCTTGGTGGCTTTAAACCCTTCTCCATTTTATCTAAAGCAAAATTTATGTCTGTGACACACATCTTCATGAAACTTTAATCCACACTATTAGTATCAGTTACTTCCCAGAATTAATCTTGGATGCTGAATTATTTTAATGTCTAGACATGTTTCTCAAAGAATATTTGGAAGAATACCCTCATCAAATATTTCTAGTTCACTTTTTTAATCACATTTTTTTGAAAACTAATGATATTCTTTTGAGGACCCAAAACATAAACTTTATGTCTTGGAATGGTGTTTCTTCAATAAAAGAGACAGAATACCATTAGAAATTATAGTTGTTAGGTATTACCTTTATCCTAAACCTCTTCGTCTAGGATTATTAAATCTTTAGATCTTCATTATCCTACCAGAAACATTGCAGGACTGACCGAGATGGGATCACCATTAAAAAATGTATGGCAACTTTGAGGTTCTCTTTTCAGGGAGAGGTAAAGGAGATCTATGAAGACGGGAAAATACATCACCAGAATATATTTGGCCTTGCAACTCTCAGCATTTACTGAAATGATATCTAAATATATAGTTAGTTTGAATGGTGTAAAAATAGATGGATAATAGAAGGTAAAAGTCATCATATTCTTTTTATGTCAACATTAAAAAAGGATATCAAGGAGAGAGGATATCAAGTCTTCATTTGAACCATCCATCTCAAAAGAATTTAGAAATGAGTTCATCCATTCAAGTCATCCATGTGGCTTCTTAAATGGTGCCCAAAACATATCAGAGAGAATTAGAGAAGTTTTGTCTGATAATTATAACCGTTCTGAATTTTTCTGGCTGATAAACTTTAGACCAGATACTCTGTTCAATATGGAGAAAATCAAAAAGGAGGAAAATCAAAAAAGAGGCAAAAGGAACAAGAGATTCAGACTCAAGAGTCTATAAAAGAAATAGCACAGTTTATATGTATTTGAAATGACTGGATTTTATATCTCTGTAGTTGAGAAAGGGAACAGCTTGCTGTGATAGAATTATGATCCATGTCACTGAGGAGCAAAGAGTATTTGGGTCAAATATTTTCCCACAAATGTTAACAAGCTTATGGAGTGGATGTCCATAAAGGGTTCTCTAAATGAGGAACATTAATGAGCTCAACAGACATTCATCCAGTGACTCAAACAGTGACATTAAATGCTATTCCCGCTACACAGAAAAACAAAAAGTGATATTTATGGAAGTGCACACACTGAATCATTAAGGCTTACTCCTTCTTTAACAAATGACAGCCTATCTCTTGTTTGCCTCTGTGGCATCACTGATAGATCTGTTTATCTGAGAGCTTCAACCCAAGCTCTCAAACAAGAAATGAATGAAGGAGTATAGATACAGGAGAAATGGGGAAAATAGTGTGGTGATAAAAATGTTGACGTTTCTGGAAAAAAAAAATGAAAAACAATTTTTAAAACTTTCACTTTCCCTATATAATAAAAATTTTCCCAAGCTACAAGACAGTTAGAAGAGGCAAAATATGTGAACAAAAAAA